AATTTTAATAAATCAACTTCAAGTCTAACAAGATTTTCTGTGACTTCCTGTGCAGACTGAAGGCTGCTGCGTCTCCTCATGCGTCCCTGGGTGGCCGACAAGCACAAACGCACTGCAAATACAGAAATGCACTGCAAGTACAGAAACGCACTGCCCCTAGAGGCCTGGAGCACTTCCGATGTATGACTGTATATGCAGCGTTTTCTTTTTGCATTTGTTTTCTTATTTTTAGCGCATTTCAGTATATGCAGCACATTTCTGTATTTGCAGTGCATTTTTGTATTTGCAGTGTGTTTCTGTATATGCAGCACGTTTCTGTATGAATGAATGAATGAATGAATGAAATTTTTATTTTCGTGTCTGGCTGCCCCAAGGCAGCCCATCCCTCATGGGATTATTCAGACACATTTTAAAAGAAAATATTTTTTCCAGTGCCATCACGCCAACATAGAATAGTAAACATGACATATACGCAAGCTGCAAATAAAGATCAATAAAAAATAAATAAATAAAAAATACTGTATTTGCAGTGCGTTTCTGTACATGCAGCACGTTTCTGTATATGTAGCGCGTTTCTGTATTTGCAGTGCGTTTCTGTATATGCTACACGTTTCTGTATTTGCAGATTGTAAATGTATTTGGACGAAAAAACAAAGCAGTTAATCAATCTACGAATTAAAAATGAGAGTCTCTTCACTATAAAGAGGAATGTGGCAAAGCAGGATGGGGGGTAAGACTGCCCAGATTAATTAATGAAGTTCATCTGTAAATGTGTAAACTGTCTCGAAAATATGAACAAGTTAATTACTTTGATTACACTGCACTGTATCTCTTATCTGACTTATTCAAGTTTATTTTTAATTTAACTCATTTTAATTCATATTTAAATGTTTTTTTAATAGCCTGTTGCTCTATTTTGCTTTCACAAAGCGTCTGTCGGTATCCATGGTTACATCTGCTTCCTTCTTTCGGTAGAGTGGCAAGGGCAAAGAGCATGGATACCAAGGCCCGATCCCAATACACCCCTTAACCCAACCACTTGCCCCTACCCCTCCGTTTTGCGCGTTCACGCATAGGGGTAGGGATGTCCCGATTCTCACTGAGGCAGAGGGGAAGGGCGGAGTGCTAGGGCTATATGGCCCTCCAAACGGAGTTTTTTCAGAGGCACACTTAAAAGCGAGTGCTACGAGAAATCTCCCAGAATGCCTTGTGAATCACCGGCAAGATGGCAGGGAAGGCTTCAGAGGCAATTAAAGAAAACCATAAATGTAAGTATTTTCTTCGTAACTAAAGATTTAAAGACTATGATAACCATCAGAAATGTCGTTTCAATGTATTATATACATTTGTTCTAACAAACATAAAAAAAAAAAAAAATCGCTAGTTGTGAGGTTTCCCCGGCAACATAGTCGTCGCGTCTTTTTATGACGTCACTGACGACTAATGATGACGTTTCCGGGTATGAAGGGTTGTCCCATTTCATAGGGGAATATTTCAACCCCTACCCCTTGTAACTTTGTTGCAAGGGGCAAGGGGCACTCGAAAAAGAGGGGTAGGGGTAGGGGCGAAAATGAGAAATGGGATTGGGCCCAAGAGGCAAAGCTCAATAGAACACCCCATAGCAACAGACTTGCCCATGGTTTCGTCCTACCGCCGCCATTTTGGACTGTCAGCAGACCGCAGCAGACCCGCTTGCATACAAAAACACAGAGACAAACTGAAGTATATTGCTATTAATTATGCTTTCAATGCTACTCACCTCGTGATAGCTTGGTCACAGCTGCTTTTTCACGTTTTTGTAAAGCAAAATATAGACTTAAAAAAACAAAACAAAGAAAAACGGCCTAGATGGCATCTCTACATATTACATCAGCTTATGAGAAGATTAACTTAATTACTCCTTCAAAATCACCCCATAAGCCAATCTACCAAAAAA